TTCCAGTGAGCTAGGGGGTATTGTAAACTATGCAGATTCATCCTTGCACACGGAGGATATGTAGTTAATAAAATCATCAAGAGCAGCCTTTAAAATGAAAGATGTTGGAAAAGGGCAGCACTGAGCTGGAGGTTGTAGTGCTCTGGTTGCCAGGCAGCCACCCTCAGGCCCTCTTTTGTTACCGTGGTGATGTTTAGAGAGCTTACCTAAATACTCTTTGAGATAGCATCCGAACTATCCACATCCCTTTAACACCAACTAGTCATGCCACTTCTTTTTCTTCCTCCCCCACATCTCTACCTACACTGTCATAATCTTACGAATGAGATGAACCTACAAGTGCACCTCCAGTGCCCGATGCCTCAAGCCTGGAAATGATATTGACTTGCTCCCGAATGCAAATAAATGAAAGAATAATGAAATGAATGAGAAGATTAAGCAAGATTATTCAAATAAAAATAACCAAAATTATAATAAAATAAACCTTTTCAAATAAAACATCGATCTATTTGGGGGATCATTCAGGAAAGGACATTCTCTTGGTAATCAATAGTTCTGATTCTCTGTCAGTTATCACTGGGTGGTCTTGGTCATGTGAGTTCCCTTTTCTAGGCCTCAATTTCTTCATGTGTCGTAAAAGGGGGTTAAACTATAGCAGTTTTTTTAAGCTTTTCTGGCCAGAATCTGTAGTAAGTAAAACATTTTACATCACAACCTAGTGTACACACACACACACCAACAAATCTGAAACAAAAATTTTATGAAACAATACTTACCCTTATTTTATGTGATACATTCTGACATTTTCTGTTCTATTTTTTTCATATTTTTAATTGCTGGTTATGACCAGTTATTGACTTCATGCCCTCATTAATGCCTCACAACGAAGTTTGAAGAACACCGAACTAGCGCCTATCTAATGGCTCCTACAGTTCTAGTATTTTATGATTTTATGTTATGCCATTATTTCTTTTTTAAAATAATATTAAAAATCACTAGCATTCATTGAACCGTTAGTATGTGCTAGACACTGTTTTAAGCACTTTATCCATATGAACTTAATTTTTCAACAACCGTGACTACTTCCATTAGTCCAATTTTTAAGTTGAGGGAAATTAATGTGGCTGTTATCTGCACACCAAATTTAGTGACTACCAAAATTGATTTCATGATGTATTTAGAGTGTTTCAAATATCTTAGACTATCACCATTTGATAAAATTAAATATTATCTTCTCTGCTCTTACTATTTTACACTTGGGGGGGGGATTTAACAGATAATCCAGATCTGAGGGGAGGAAAAAAAAATCAATAACCTAAATGAGGGGTGCCTGGGTGGCTCAGTGGGTTAAAGCCTCTGCCTTCGGCTCAGGTCATGATCCCAGGGTCCTGGGATTGAGCCCCACATTGGGCTCTCTGCTCAGCAGGGAGCCTGCTTCCTCCTCTCTCTGACTGCCTCTCTGCCTACTTGTAATCTCTGTCTGTCAAATAAAATCTTCAAAAAGAAAAAAAAAAGATTTAAAAATAACCTAAATGATACCCATTATTGGCTCTAAAAGTCATTTAATTACTCTGTTGTGTAAATAACCTGAAAACAGACACTTATAATGCCACACTGGGGAACATTTATACATAGGCATGATAACTACCCAAGTAGACACCTTAATTCTTAGGGATAGGCACTATCAGCATATTGTCAGTAGAATAATTTGAGACTCCAGATGTGTGCCCTTAGTCACTGTACATCTTTATTGTGTGTAGTATTGTAAAAAACAAAAACAAAAACAAAAAACATGGGTGCTATTTTTTCCTGATTCCACTAATTAACTACTGAGCACCACTGCAAGTATTCACCTTTTTGAATTAGCTGAAAAGATTTAGAATATGATGCTACAATACTATTATGCATAAACTTCACCTAGTATATTGTTCAGGGGGTGCTGATGGAGCAGATTTGAACGATTTTTGAACCAGCTCTTCTTGAATAAATAATGGGATAGTTGATATTTAATGTCTCTTGCAAAAAATCCAATAAAAATTCAAAACTTCATTTATTCATTTAACAATTAGTATTGAGCACCTACTATATGCTACATACTTAGTTTTGCACTGGTGATTCAATAGCAAATATAACAAAGTGCCAACACTCAGGGATCTTAATTATTTTGTGTTTTGTGAGTTTGGATTTTTGTTTATTGTATTTGTTTATAGAAAGGCACGCTTATATAGATTCTCTTTGGTGAAGAGGCAGTGGGAATTACATGTTTCGTTTATTTAAAATATTCAAGTGCTTTTTATGCATGGCAGTAAAGAAAGAACTATGAAAAACAAAACAAAACACAAGAAATAAATCAGTTTTTGCTCTTTAAAAGCTTACAGTCTAGTTAAATTAGTGGTTCCTAACCAGGAATCATACTGTCCCTCAGGGGACATTTGTTCATGTCTGGAGATATTTTTGGTTGTCATGAGCTGGGTGGAGGCAGGATTAGTTCTACTGGTGTCCGGTTGGTAGAGGCTGGGAACACTACTAAACATCCTCCAGTGTATAAGACATCCCCACAACAAATAATTTTGTGTCCCCAAATGTCAAGAGTGTCCAGGCTGAGAAACCCTAGTTAGAGGGACAACCTACATATATTAGAAGTTTTGTTTTTTAATTACAAGGTATTAGATGATAAATGCTAAAGGAGTGATACATACAAGGTGATACTGATGAGTGAGAGATCATTCTAGAATGAATTGGTGATGGGAGTCTTCATGAAGGAAGTGTGGTTCAACTTCCTGCTCGAAGCAGAGGAAAGCCTACAGAGCCCTGCTACCTCTCTGACTTCATCTCCTACCACTCTCCCCTCACCTTTCCACCCCAGCCAATGGCTTTTGCATTTCCTTGAAAATACCAAGCATTCTTTTATTTCATGGAATCTGCTTTTGCTGTTCCCTTAGATTCAAGTGTACTTTCCCAAGATATCCATATACCTACTCCATCACTTCTTGTAAGTTTCCACTCTGTTCAGCCTTTTGATAGAGAGTCTTTTCCAAATCATCATACTCCTCTATGTACAATATTAACTCCTGCCCCCTCCATTCCCTTTCCCCTTATTATGTTTTTTTGGTCTGTATAGCAAGATTGTACCTGGCCCAGAGCAGATACTCTAGACATATTTGCAAAATGAATGAATTTATTAAATATTAGTAACGTTGGGGGTTTTCAGCCCAAGCAAATGAGAAGAAGCTCAACTAAAGGAGCCTAACTATTGTTATTCCCAATGGCCTAGAACAGTGCCTCCCTCATAGTAGAAACTTCATAAATAGTCAATAAACAATGATGAAATAGAAAAAGAAGATTAGTATGATCCAAACAAGTCTATAACCATCTTTGAAAAGTATTCTTAGGACAATTACTACATTCTCTCATTTTTTTGCCCTTCACTTTATTGTATTCTGTTTTTGTTTTGTTTTGTTTTCACCAATTTGAAGGTTCAAGACTTCAGAGGGAAAAGTAACTTCAGATGTGGCAGAAATAGCAAGAGAACTAGAATTAGAAGTAGAGCCTGAAGATGTGACAGAACTGCTGCAAGCTCATGATAAAACTTTCAGGGATGGGGAGTTGCTTCCTATGGATGAGCAAAAGTGGTTTCTTGAGATGGACTCTACTCCTGGTGAAGATGCTATGAAGACTGTTGAAATGACAACGAAGGATTTAGAATATTATGTAAACTTGATTGATAATGCAGGGGCATGGTTTGATAGGATTGGTTCCAATTTTGAGGGAAGTTCCATGGTGGGTAAAATGCTATCAAACAGCATCTCATGCTACCAAGAAATCATCCATGAAAGGAAGAGTTAATCAATGGGACAAACTTCATCCTTGTCTTATTTTGAGAAGTTGCCATAGCCACCCCAACCTTCAGCATCCATTAACCTGACCAGTGAGCAGCCATCAACACTGAGGCAACCAGCAAAATGATATCCTGGAAGCCCAGATTGTGGTCAGCATTTTTAGCGATATTCTTAAATTAAGGTATGTGCAATGTTCTTTTTAGCCATGATGCTTTTGCACACTTAATAGACTACAGTATAGTATAAATATAACTTTCTATGCATTGGAAAACCCCAAAATTCATTTGACTCACTTTATGGCCGTATTCACTTTATTGCAGTGGTCTGAAATGGAACCTGAAGTATCTCAGAAGTATGCCTGTATACTAGCACAACTGGGCACATATAACAAATGGCTTATTTTTAATTTGGACAATTCTTACCAGCTTTTCCACTTTATAGCCATCCTGCATACATTTTTTGTAGTTTAGAAATGCAATTTCTGACATTCTTTATCTTAGTTGTCTGTTAAGCCAGGTATTGTATAAAACATAAGTACATTTTAAAAATTCTAACCTAAAGGCAGCTCTTTACGAAGCCAGTTCTATAATTTTCTGTTTTCATTTGCACTTAATCACTAATTCACCAACCCTGCACTCAGGGAGTCACTACAGACAATTATGCTAATGCTCATAGCAATAGCAACTAACGTTTATGGAGGACTTTTTGTGCTGGGGACTTTCCTGAAGGCTGTGCATACATTATCTGGTTTCGTTCCTACTATAGGAGACCTGTGGTATGGAATTCATGTATATTAATGAACTCTAATTTACTTTCTGTAGCAAGCCCAAGGCCCAAACCCCCAAACACCTGAGCTAGGACTACACATACCCCGCTTCCAGCCACTTTCTCTTTTCCCTTGCCTCTCAGCACTCTCGTTTCTAGAAGGACCACGAGTGCTCCTCCCCCTCCCTCATGCGACGTTTTGGGAACCATGGCAACCAACACTGTCCCTCCCCTCCTCCTCCCCAGGCAACCAGGCTGGCACCAGGTGGGAGGATCTGCTACGTAACCGCGCGTGTGACTGCCTAGTAACAGTGCCCGCGAGTTGGAAGCGCGCCGAGAGATGGGTGGGGCGAGAGAGCTGACGCCTGCACGCGGCACGTCTTTGCAGCCTCGCTTCGGGGGCGGAGCCTTGCCAGAGTAGCTAGCGATCGTCGCCCAAGCGCGCGGTTTCTCAGTCCTCAGCTTTGGACGGGGCAGACTAGCTTTGGGGAGTGAAGAGAGTACGCAGTTACCCGACAATGTCTGGTGAGTCAGGTCAGCCTCAGGCCGGCCCCTCACATGCCGGGCTAGATTTTCCGAATCCTGAGAGAAATCGGGCTGGGGTCCCGGGAGGGGTGATCCGAAGGGCCGGTTCCCACGGGCGCAGGTCCTGGATCCAAAAGGTCCTCGAGCAGATAACGGATTCACCTCTGCAGTGGGTCACCCCGTCGGAGGTGGTGCCTGTCGCTGTGCTGGCCGTCCAGAGGTACCTGTTAGAGGATGAGCCGCGCGACACGATACCCAAACCTCCCCTTTACTGCTATGATGTGACGATCTCGGACGGGGTGTACCAGGAGAAGTGCTACCTGGACCCCAGCCTGAACTTTCTCGTCTATAAAAATATTCTTAAAGTTGGCATAGAAATGAAAATTTCCAGAGTCTCGTGTCTTTACAACGAAAAAAGGTTAGGCCAGGGGATCCTGTGCATAGATAACGTTCACTGTGGAGAGACCCTAGAGGCTATTTCTCTAGAAACTCCATTCAGAAATAGTGCGCACGAGGAGGTACCGGAGAGGCCTTTAAGAGGCGGGAAGAGTCATTACCTGGCCCTGTGGAATAACGAAGATCCGTATGGAGATATCTGGTTAACCAACAAGCAACCTGAGGAACACAATTTTAACAGTAAGTAATTGGGGGAACGACGGAGGGGTTAAAAAAAATAGTTTTCGGGAGCTTGCGTTAGTGGGAAAGGAAACGAGGGTGCTTTGGTATTGTTCATTTCAAGCCCCGAATGGGAATAAACAAATGCTCCTGGATGTCGGATTGGTGCTCCCTTAATGAAATTTGCACAGACCGTTCCTTGCTTTGATTATTCAAATGACCATTTAGGAAGTGTCTGAATACATCTCAGGTTTAATCTGGCATGCATACTTATGTGTGCGTTTGCCTACGGAGGAATTATCTTCGTTTCATTCCCATTCCACTTGTGGAACTAGTACTTTTCTGTGTTGGTTGGCGACTGTATAGATTTGAATTCGGCATAAAAGTCATAAATATTTGTGGTTTTGCGTGTTTTAACCTTCATTCAAAAAAGGATGTTCTGTGATTTATTCCGTAATAACTTGCATTAACGAAACGCCATTTTTATGGCTTAGAGTGTAGCAGTTATGTAAATATTGCTTCTTTGAATGTGTGATTTTTGTGGACAGGCTTGGAATTTTCATTTTTATGTTTCTTATTGCGTATCACGGACAATACTGACCCGAGTTTAATTCTTCTGTACCAGAAGTAGGAAGTTAGCCTGAAAATGCCAGTTCGTCATCAGCAACTGCTGTAAAACATATTTTATCAGAGATGGAAGGGGAATGATAGTACTATAGGCATGTACGTGTATGGAATGGGGACCAAATTAAATGCAAAAAAAATGAAATAAAACAAAGTACTTAAGGAAGGAAGATGTTATTTTATAACAGAAAAAAACCTGAAAAACAGGTTTTTTTCTTTTTACATTGCAGTCATATTAGCTCATATGTAATCTTGCTATGACGTGTATCAGCAACAGGCTTGAAAGTGAAAAGACAACTGGATGAAAAATATGCAATTAAAGTAATATCCAGTTATAAGGAAAAAAGGATGTTATAGAAACGTGTGGACAAGGATGATTTAAATAACTTAAGCTTTAAAAGCAAGATAGTCATTTCAGAGATGAAATAATGGAATGATTTTATCTCAAGCATGGAATAAGGCAGCACTGCATTACTACTCTAAGTGTTGACCATTTTTATTTTTAAGATTGAATACACAAATGAAAAATTTGGTGTCTAGAAGAATTAAGAGGGGAATAATATTTGTAAAAATATATTTCATTTTTCTGACAATGGAAGTGATATCCATTATTGAATACATATTTTTATTACAAAAGGCAATGTCTAGGTGCTAAAAAATCCAAACTATATTTAAAAGTATATTGTTGGCTAGCAAGAAAAATAGCAATACAGACTGAAAAGCAAACACTTATTGAACACCTATGGGCAAGATAATATTAAAAGCACTTTATTTGTGCAAACATAAAACGTATATTAAAAATATAAGACCCAGGTATAGTAAAATTTTGATGACAAAAATCTAGAAGTGGGCATATATTGGTGTTCTTTCAAGTTTGCCGTATGTTTAAAATTTTGAAAAATAAAATGTTGGGGTGGAATGAAAGACCCCTTTACCTCCCTTTCCTATGACTTCAACTTTGATCTCAAAACTCCAAAGGTTCAGCAGTTTGGTGCGTATCACTGGAAAAAAAAAATTCTATGGCGTGGCATGATTTGCTGTTTACACTTACTCAAGCATCTTTAATGTATATCTGCGCATACACACTTCCACACTATGGGTGTACCATAATTTATATAATCATGCCCATGCGAATGGATAATTATCAATTTTAGGCTGTTACTGGTTTTTTAGTTTTAGATCTGGCACAGAACATCATTAGGATATACACATACTGTTCACTATGTTCAAGTATTTCTGTGAGATGGATAGATTCCTAGAAGTGAAATTGCTGGGTTAAAGAGTATTTAAATTGTTTCATGTAATGGATATTGACAAATCATCTGAAAAGGTTTTACTGATTTATATTCCCACTAACATATATATGAATGCCCATTTCCCCATATTGTATTAATTTAAAATTATGTCTTGACTTTTCTGATTTCTTTGCTAATGGATAGTAAGTATTTGTTATATATTGCAGATTACATTCTCACACTCTCCCTTTTCTCTTTGTTTATGGTGCATTTTTGTGCTTTTAAAAACTTTTCTATTAAGGCATGATATGTACAATGTGTTAAAGTCTTAAAACTACAGCTTGAAATACAAAAAAAAAAAAAAGCTTAAAGCTTGAAACCACCACCCCACCCCACCCCAAATCAAGACACAACATTGTAAGCATCTCAGAAGTCTCCCTAATGCCCTCTCCTGGCCAATATCCTACTCCAAAGGTAACCAATATTGTGATCTCAAAGACAGCTTTTCAAAATGGAAGTTAGATCATGCCCATCTCCTGTCTAAATCTCTGCAGTGGCTCCCCATTGCACTTAGACAACAATCCAGACCTCCTATCAGGGTGGGCAAGGCCCTGTGGTGTGGACGAACTTGCTTTAAATGGCCAGATAGTGAATCTTTTTGCCTTTTTCGGACACATAATCTCCAGTCACAGCTATTCAGCTTGGCCAGAGTATAGCAAAAGCAGCCATAGGCAATATGTAAATTAATAGGTTTGGCTGTTTTATAGTAGAATTTTATTTACAAAACCTGGCTGCAAGCCAGATTTAGCTCAGGGGCTATAGTTTATAGACCCCTGCCTTACTGAATCCCCTTGCTCACCTCTCTAACCCCTCACCTCCACCATTTTATTTCCAAAATATGAGCCTTGTTTTTTATCTCAAACCTCCTTGTTTTGTCCTGCCTCTAGTTAGTTGCTCCTGTTTTTTCCTCTTTCTGGAAAGTTCCTTCCCATCTTCAGTTTTCAACTCAAATATATAAAACACGTTAGAAAGGGTTGTTTAAATATGTGTTCCCTCCCCATTTATTATTATTGCATCACCATGGAAATGCCCTTCATAGAATTGATAACATTCTGAAATTATTATTTCTGTTTTCTTTTTCCTCCCACTTGTTTATAAGATTCATGAGGGCAAGGCTTCTGTTTTTTTCACTGCTGTGGCGCATTTCTCCTACACCCAGAACAGTGTCTGCTGAGTGCTTTCAATAAGTGTTTATTGAATAAAGGAACGCATTAAATAAATTACATTAATGGATTTTCTAATGTTGAACTACTTTTATATCTCTACTTGGGTCATGGTTGTTATATTTACATCTGTATATTTAAAGTGAATTTATTCCATAGATTTTATTTTTTAGGGACTTACTATTTTAGCCCCATATTGATATCAGTACAATTAATATTAGCCTATTAGAATGAGTTGGGAAACTTGTTTGTTTTTCTGTGCTTACAGAAAATATTTGTTCATTGAAGGTTTGGTAGAATTTATCCCTAAAACTATTAGAACATGGGGCCTTGGGCCAGGATTGGGGGTTGAGAGAATAACTCCTTTTCAGTTTCTCAGAAAAGGTAATGAAATTAATAACTCTTCTTCTTGAGTCCATTTGTGAGAGTTGATATTTTACTAGAAAATATCATTTCACCTAGATCTCCAAGTTGTATGCAGTAGTCTCTATTTTAAAATTTTAGTTTATATTTTTTAAATTTTTTAGTCTTGTTTCATTCCCTTTTACATTCTTAAATGTATTTACCCTTTGTTATGGTCAGCCTTGCCAGAGACTTGTCTGTTTTATTAGTATTTTATAAAAAGACTTTTAGCTTTGCTAATTAAGTCTATATTGGGGAGATGTTTTCTACTTAATTAACACTATCATCTTTAATTTCTTGTATTTCTTTTGTTCATACTTTTTGTACTACCTTCTTGAGTTGAATGCTTGGTTCACTTATTTCTTTGTTTATTTCTTCCAAAAGCTTTTGAAATTCCGAAATTTCCCATGGAAATTGCTTTGGCTACGTACACTAGGTTTTGAAGTGTAGAGATTTTATTTTTACTCATTATTTATATTTTCTGATTTTAAAATTGAGTTCCTCTTTAACCCTCAAAATTTTAGAAAAAGCTTACTTATTAGATATGAAGTCTATTATAACAAGTTTTTAAATTTTTTAAAAGATTTTATTTATTTACTTTGAGAGGGAGAGCACAAGGAGGGGCAAGAAGGGACAGCGGGAGTGGGAGAAACAGACTCCCCACAGAGCAGGGAACCCAGATGTGAAGCTTGATCCCAGGACCTAGGATCATGACCTGAGCCAAAGGCAGACTCAACCGACAGAGCCACCCAGTCGCCCCTATAACAAGTTTTTAAATTTTAATTGAAGTATTCCATTTTCTTATTTTAAAATTTATTTTATTTGCCCATTTCTCCAAGAGGAATATTGCCTTCTCTTTATGATGTGGTTTTGTTCATTTCTCTTTCTATTTCTAAAAGTTTTTGATTTAGATGTTACTATAATGTATAAAGTTTCATAACATAGTAATCTCGTTGGTGAATTTTTAACCTTTTATCAGTATGGAATTTTTTTGTTCTTTTGTGTCTGGAATTCTATTTTGTCTTGATAATACTATTTACTACTGCTGCTGTGTTGTAGTTGGCATTTTGGGCAGTGGTTCTCACATATGAATGGGCATCCATATCACTTCAGGCGTTTTAAAATGCAGATTTCTGGGCCCCACCACCAGTTTCTGATTCAGTAGGTCTGTGGTAGTGCCCTAGAATTTGCATTTCTAGGAAGTTCACTGGTGGTTAATGATCCTGGTGGTGCAAATGCCACATTTTTGAGAACTGACCTAATGTATGTATCTTTGTCCATTCCTTTTTCCTATTTTGTTTTACATTTGCCTTTTTAAAGAAATACATAGCTAAGATTTTGGGTTTTTGACCCAAACCAATTCTTTTTCTTTCAAGAGATGAATTTAATCCAATTAAATTTTAAGTCATTAATGATGTTTTTATACCTCTTCTTGCAGAACTACTTTATGTTTGCTATATGCCATGCTTTATTATTTTTTTTTACTTTTGCAAGATGTAAACTCCTTTATCTTACAGTGCTTTAGAAGCTATACATTAATTTGTATTCTTCTAGAGGTTACCCTTAATGTTTTAACAAAGTTATTTAAACTTTGATTTTTGTGTCAATATCCAGAATTATTCACAATTTATTATATCTTCCTCTTGAACAATACAAGGTGTTTAGGACTCCACCTGGACATGATGCAATTTGGCATATTGCTATATTTGGTTTGAAAGTATTTGCTCGAGGATATTTGCCATGATAAATGATTTAGATTTATGGATTTTTTCCTGTGTACTACATTTGTAATAATTTTTCAGGATTTATCTATGTTTGTAAAATGAGTAGTTAGAACATGGTGCCATTTTATTTCTATTCTTTTGCAGTGGTTTTTACCGTATGCTTCAAGGACCTCTAGAGATATCCCGAAGACCTTTTCAAAGGATTCACATCAGAACTATTTTCATAATAATAATAATACTAAGACTTCATTTACTTTTTAGCACTCTGATTCTCTGAAAGTATACAGTGGAGTCTTCCAGAGGCTACAAGATATGTGACATTGAAACAGACTGAATGCCAAAGAAATGAGTATCCAGTGTCTTCTATTAAGCTAGACACTAAAAAGATTTACAAAAATGTAAATCAGTGCCACTCTTCTTACTAGATTCCTTGTTTAGAGAATACAGTCTCATATATATCTCATGTATGTTTTAGAGAATACAGTCTCATTATGTATTTTAATATATATATAAATGTATATTATATATATGTATTTATATATATAAATACATAATAGGTTTATTGTTTTTTAAGGGAGTTAATGAATAATATTTTATTTCTTAGTTTTACTTTATAATATTGCAAGTGTTATTACCCACATAAATAAAAGCTTTTTGAGGTCTTCAGTAATTTTCAAGAATGTAAAAGTCTCCTGAGACCAGAAAGTTTTAGAATCACTGTTCCATCGTTTGCTATCTAACATTTAATATTGAATATCTAGTTTATTTATTTTCATTCTTACAAAAATGAACAAATTTCTATGAATTTATTGTCTTCATTGTCTGTGTATAGCCTGAAATTTCTTTTTTTGGATTTGAGAGATATGTATATTCTATGAAGTTTGTGAGTTAAAAACCCAAACTGGGAAAACATTAACCAGGCAGTTGTCTGATCACAGCTGACTCTGTGGACCCAATTATAGTGAAAGCAGTGGCTCTTAGAACTCTGGTTTTACAAAAGGCATATAACTCTTGAATTTATTCTAGTTAGTGCAAGTAGATGTGCCTTCATTGACCAAGAGTGTTCCACATACATTTCAGGTAATTCAGAGTTGATCCATAATTTGACCTAATTAAAAGCAAATATTAGGACCTATGACTGTGCTATTAATGTTTTGGAAGACTATAAAAGGAAAATTATACAAGATGTCTGAAGACTAAAAACAGTATTTTTTTATGATACAGGTGTAACTACAACATTCCACTTAAATTCTTATTAAAAAGAAATTACAACTATGGTTTTCATGCCAAAATGTTGAGTAGATAATATGTTAGGTAAATTAAAATGGAAGTGGAAGATACCTTGTGAAATAAAATATTGGAATAAATACAAATTAAGGTTTTAACAGTTGAGACTAGACTATGAGAGAGCAAAATGTAGACAAAATTGCCAATCAAACCTCTCTTAAGCCAAGGAAGAGTAAAATAAAAACTACAAGTTAATATTTTAAAGATGGTGAATAGCTTTAAGCAGTTTTTGTATTTGCCAGCAGGCATGGAGATTAAAATTTCAAAGTAAATTATATGACATATGAGAAGATAATGAGTACCATGTAGAAAAATAAGATGGGATGAGGCATAAGTAAAGGGATCAGTTTTCAATAGGGTAGTAAGGAATAACATCACTGAGAAAGTGACCTTTGAGCAAAACTTGAAAGAGAGGAGGAAGGAAGTCACTCTGGTATCTAGGAAGATATTCCAGACAGAGGGAAGAGCAAGTGCAAAAAGTCCTGGTCTGGCATGTTTGGGAAATACAGAACTTACACATATAAAACTACGGTGAGGGCAATACAGAAATATGTCATAAAACAATTCTATAAATTAAATATGTACCTGCTTGGTAGTGGGAAAATATTCCATGGCATTGAGTTTTTCCCACAAAATTTCTTAAGGGAGATGAGTTTATTGAAGTGTAATTAGCATACAATGTTATATTGGTTTCAGGTGTACAATGTAATGATTTAACTATACTATACATTTCTCAGTGCTCATCAGAATATGTGTTCTTTTAATACCCTTTATCTGTTTCACCCATTCCCCCACCCAGGGAGAGATGAGTTTAGATCCAAGTCTTTCAGGAAGTAATTACCCAGTTTGACAAGACAGAGGGCATTCGAGATGGAATAGTATATTAGTTAATATAGATATTTACCTTCGTGCTGGGCACATAGTATGACATATTTATATATTAGCTATTTTTTTAAGAGAGAAAGAGGGAAAATGCATGCACGCAAGAGAGTTGGGAGGGGTGGTAGGTAGGAGAGAAAAAGTATTAAGCAGGTTAAGCAGGATCTCCACGCCCAGCGACTCTGAGATCATGACCTGAGCCAAGAGTTGGCTGCTTAACTGACTGAGCTACCCAGGCACCCCTATATATTAGCTATTATTATTAAGGATAGCATGTATTATTAAGTTTTTTATGTAGAAAGTATATAGACTGGTTTAGCTGGTGAGAAGGAGTTGCTGTGGGGATGATCTGGCTACCATTTTTAACCATTAAAACGATTTTTAAATAAACATGACATGTTAAGTAGGACTTTTTTCTATTCTATTTTTTTTATTCTAGATACCAAAATAATTTCCCTGTCTCACCTTGAAATGACCTGGGCTAACAGACGGAATTTTCCTGCATTGCTTGTGAGAATCTTGCATAAATCCAAACTGCGATACTATGGAAAACCTGATAAAAAGATGATTGAGCCATACCAGGTATAAGTAATGACAAGACATTACATGTTAATTTAATGGTTATAGATTATAGCTTACAGAACTGACTCCATATTAGGATAATTTATGTTCAAAAAATATTTTATAAGTTTAATAATGTTTAAAACATATATAAATGTATATTTCAAGGTGTTTTTCTATGTAATTTCTTATGCAAAAAGAAATCTTTCTGTATTGGTACCTTGTAGTTCCCTAATTCAGTTGGTCTCCTTCACAGCTTTTTCTTTATCTTCAACCTTTTCTTCTCTACTGTGCTTTCTACACCAGCATAGAGACATACTCTAGTCTTTCATTAGGAAAAAATACAAAAATCTCCTTGGACCTCAGGATTCCTCTATTCCCTCTCTTCTTCTCTTCTGACAAACTCTTTAGAGAAGTAGTCTCTTTTAGATGTTTTTACTTTCTTTTCTCCCGTTTACTTTTCAACACAATTGGTCTGACTTTTTTCTTCAGCTGGTCACTCACTGGAGACCTTCTAATTGTGAAATCTAGCTGATACTTTTCTGTTACCTTGACTCTCTGTGCCATATAATGCCAGTGAGAACTACCTTCCTGATTTCTGTCCCATTTGTTTTTTTTATTTAACATTTTACCATATTTTCACATGTTATCAAAAATTATTTTAGATGTTTTATTAAGCTTTCATTAAAACAGTTATATATACTTTGAGGGAATTTGAGAAATGCAGAAAGCTCTATAAATAAAGCTGATAAGTAATATCACCCCAAATTCTAACAGAGCCAGTATTAATATTAAAGTGTTTTATTTCCTTTTTGTATGTATATATCATGTCTACATATCTACAGCATATATATGCACATATTTATATCATATGTATGTCATATGTATCACATATCTGTGTATATGTATACATATCATATATTACATGACTGTCATATATTAAATTATCTTACAAAATGGAAATCATATTGTACATACAATTTTGTATCACTTAACATTTCCTTAAGTATTTTCTATCACTAGAAATCATTCATAGCTTTTCATGGTTACAGATTGTATCATAACTTACTCAGTCATCACCCTATATTTTTGCTTTCTTGTTCTTAAAATTAGAATGCTCTGTAGATAAAAGTAACAGATATGCATGTGCTTTTTCACTCTTTTTTCTAGACCTTTCTGGAAGTTGCTGACAGTTCAGGCACTGTGTCAGTGATTATGTGGAATGCCCTGTGTCCTGAATGGTATAAAAGTTTGCGGGTTGGTTTAGTTCTTCTGCTTCAGGATTATTCCGTCAAAAAGAGTTATCCATTCAGGATGCAGCCTCTGCCTGTGGATCCACAGATCAAACTAATTTCTACAATGGGTTAAGTATTCAATAAATTTATTGCTTTATGGCTATTTTGTTTGTATAAATTTCCAAAGTACCATATCAGTCAAAGGCTCTTAAAAATTGCTGAACCTGTTAGAACCTGGTAAACCTTTAAATTCCTTTATCTATAAAAATTTTAAACAATCACTTAATAAATTATTTATTATTGCATTTATTAAGAAAAAAATAATGTGAGATGTTTATTGTTGATTACTGAATGAACTCCACTTAGGATGTACTTACTTTTCATTTTTGTATTATAATACTAAATTGACTTAAATATGCTTTTCTGTTACTATAAGGTGCTATCCAAAAAGGCTTTGACAGCATTTTATTTTGGAATAATTTCAAACTTAGGTAAAAGTTGAAAGAACAATACAAAGAACTCCATATACCCTTTACACGGATTCAACAATTGTTAACATTTACCTTTATCATTCCCCACCTCTCTGTATATATACTTGTCCTCTGAAACCTTTGAGAGTAAGTGGCAGCCATCACACAATCTCCTTTACCTCAGAGCATTTCAGTAATATTTCAATGTGTATTTCCTAAGAACAATAACATTCTATACTATAATCACAGTACAGTTATCAAAATCAGGAAATTTAAAAATGAAAAATTGCTGTTATCTAGCCCATAGTCAATATTCAAATGCAATTGAATTGTTGCAATTTTGAAAAGGCTCTTCCTAATTAGTGTTGAAATCAAAGTTTGACATCTTGGCATCATCCTAAATATTTTGAAGCATTAAAATTAAGTGGTTGTTTTCAGATGTGGATATGGATTTTTTTGCCTTTCTATTTGTCAAAATTGTAGATTATATCACTCAGCAAGTTTAAGTATTGTTTTTGGCTCACGATAGTTTTATACTGGACCTGTATTTCCACGTATTTCTAAATTCCCTACTAACACATTTAAGCTTAATTACTTGGGGAATGTACAGATAATATAGCCTTTTTTCACTGTTTCCTTAAATATATGTTTATTTAGGAAAATCTCATATGATTCTTTATTAAAATACTAAGGATTTGATAGACCTCAATCATGTCTTCCTGGATGAACAAGTCATTACCTAGTAGTTTGATACAATTAGTCCATTATCTCTTTGCTCTTTATTATCGAAAGGTAAGAAATTAAACTGATATTAACGTTGGGACTTACTCGAGAATATATAGGAAAAAACTGGTGAAAAGAAGCTAATTCGCAACATGTATTATTATATCTATCAATTTGTAAATCCTTTCCACAACCAAGCATATCTAGGTGAAAAAATGCTTTAGTAAAAATTGAGACGTTTGTCAGTAACAGATAAGGTAAGTACATTTGTTGATGTCATGTAATAAATCACTGGCATAGTGAAAAATGAAACCTAGTTTTTCTGCCCCCTAACCTAGTGTTCTTTTTATGAGATACACTGTTTTCCTGGTGTAACGAGAATTAATATAAATCACAATTTTTACATGGCTTTGGAGAAATCTAGAAATGTGTCTGGTACTAATGGCTGTTTCTAAACCTTGAAAACATATGGGAAGTAGAATAGGCAACATGTGGTCGATAGATAAACAGCTACTAAAACTGAACACTGAAATTGAATCAAGCAGTATGCTACCTCTGCTGTAAAGAACTACAGGGCCAGATTTTCATAGTGGAAACTCTCTTTAAGATATGAGAGGCTATTTATACTTTCAGGTAAATAATTGCAAATACATAAATTATTTTTTAAAATGAGGGGCTTGGATGAGAGTATATAAAAAAATGTTTCTTTTAGTCTTTAAAACAGTTTTACTTTTTATCAGTGTCAGCATCAGTCTACTTTATCCCATATCTTTTTAATAAGGAATAGGATTTTTTTCCCTCTTTATCAGGGTCAGCAAGCTATTTCTATAAAGCCAATAAATATAGTTTCTGTCATAAGTACACAGTTCTGCCTTTATAGAGTGAAAGCAAACAGAGATAGTATGTAAGGAATGGGCATGGCTGTGTTACAGTGAAACATTATTTGCAAAATCAAGCAAGCATCTGCAGGCTATCGTTTGCTAAGCCTACACATATATGCAGATCTCAACCCTGGCTGGACATTAGTATCGCTTGGGAAGCCTGAAAGAACGGTAAGCATGCCAGGTTCAGAGATTTTGATTTAATCGCGCTGAGGAGGGAACCAAGATGTTGGTGTGATTTTAAAAATCGTCAGGTGATTCTAATGCACAGCTAGAGTTGAGAACTACTGATTTGTGATCTTTAAAAAGCTCAAATGGGTTAATGATCTGTTGAGGAGAAATGAAGACAGTTTTGTAAACCATGCTAGACACAGAAGATACAAAGATAAGTAATACAGAGTACTATCCTTAAAAAATTAGTCTATCAGGGTAATATATTACACTGTATGATAACTAACCAAAATTTAAATAAAAACATGGAAAATGTAGTCTAATGGTACAGATAAGTAAGATGAACAGATTACAATAAAATCAAGGTTTAATGACAATAAACAGTAAGAAGATGTGATGAACAAAAAGGGAGCAGAAATGAACAGAAATGTAGTTGAGAAAAGAATGAATGGTCAGGAGAGTGGGAGAATGAATTGGATAGAAAAAAGTGTGAGTGGGAATTACAAATAATAAGAGGGTATGTTATGAATAGGATAAATGAGAAAGTATATATTGGGGGCTAGGGTTGGTCAGTAAGGGAATAAGGGTTTGTGGTACTATCACTGCCTTCCAGGTATTGATGTTGAAAGACAAACTTTTGGGGTAATTTATCTTGATTTATTTTTTCACATTTACATATGTAGTTCCAAGTTATAGACACTAAGATGTAATTTTTTAAAAGACCAAATAAATGGAACCCTATATAGGTAAAAATTCTCTTGTAAAACATAAGACATATTTGCTAGTAATACATGGTTTTGTTATTGCCATTTTGCATATCATTCTATCCTACCTTTTATCCAATAATATTCAGCTAGCATCCCAAATAAACATTTTAAAATCTTGAGATTTTTTTTGGACTGTATTATATAATACCTCTTGAGATAATAGACTCAAGTGTTTGGGGGTTTGGTAGGAAAGGACTATTTATTTCATTCAAAATCCTAGCATTTTGGAGCTGGAAGGGAACTTAAATATAATCAGGTAACTGTGACTGTGAAAGTGCTTTGTAAAATGCACACTATTTTGTAGGTACAACATAATATGTAACACAAAACTTCTTCACTTGTATGTGAAAAGACTGAAACACTTAAAGTGAATTTTCGAGTCATGTGACTGCTAATAGACAAGATGAGAAATCAAGTATCTTCATCCTGGTTTTTGGTTTTTCTCTTTTTTTTTTTTTTGAGACAGAGAGAGAGCATGCTCACATGTGGTGGGGGGGGTGCAGAGGGAGAGGAAGAGAGAGAATTCTTCCAAGCAGGCTCCACCCCCAGCACAGAGCCTGATGCATGGCTTGATCCCAGGACTCTGAGTTTATGACCCAAGCCATAATCAAGAGCTAGATGCCCAGCTGACTGAACCACCTAGGCGCCCCCTCTTTATCCTGTTTTAATCTTTGTTTGCTAAATAGCAAATTCTTAGGAAATACTACCTACTGCATAAAAGGGGATAGAAAGCCCTCTAAATAAATGAAGAAATAACCCCTGTTCCCAGGTAGGAAGTCAGTCTCACTTTCATAAGTTTATCAAGTACCCCAAAATTGATCTGCAAATTCAGTGTTATTCTGTAAGTTTTTTTTCTGGAACTGACAAATTGATTCTAAAATTTATATGGAGGCACATAATTATTGAGAATAGTCAAGATAGTTCTGAAGAAAATAGGGGGCTGCAGAGGGAGTGAAGACTTCTCTCATAAATGTTATGAGTTATTATAAAAAATTTATGACCATGTAATATAGATATAGGTATAGACAAACTGACCAGCAAATCATAATAAGATCGAGAAATAGCCTTAAACGCACAAAAATTTGATATGATAGATGTGCTATGCAGATCATCAAGGAAGGAAGAACTATTCAGTAAATAGTATTGGAAAAAATAATTACATACTTGAGAAAAAAATGACATATATCCCTATCTTACACCATATAAAATGTCAATTCCAGATACAGCAAATGGAAAAGACAAAACTTTTAGAAGTACTTATAAAGAAGTATGCATTTGACCTTGGAATAAGGAAGGATTTTCTTGGCTAAGACACAGGAAATATCATTTGTAAATGAATGATTAATAAAAGCCCAACTACATTGAAATATTTTTTGGTTTCAATTTGTCTTTTTATTATAACATGAGCTAAATTTAAGAAATTAGTCTTTTGACTTTATTTCCCCGAGTTGTTAACTCATGAAAATATACTGAAAAATACAAGAGCTGATATAAGATGGTAATCAAAGTTCCAGATATCAAAGGATTAGAGAAAGTGAAGAATTAAACCAGTCAGGCGCCTGAAAGACACAGGTTGCACTGGTTTAGCAAGGTGCCATCAAGGAATAGGAAGACCATCAAATGTGTGGTGATAAGTCACAGCATTAGAAACATCTCCATCAGGCAACTTCCTACCCTTTTTTGTTTGGTAAATTGACTTTTTCTTCTAACTTAGAATTCTCTTAAACTAACATTTCAAAATTAAAATAATTCCATCAAACAGGAGTCATTTTTATAGGTAAGGTAAATCACAGGAACTCAGTGCATTTAGATTTTGGTGAAGGAAAACTTAAAATACATTTACAATAATACAGTGTTACTAGCAATGGACCATATACTGAGGTCATTTTAGTGAGCTACCATCATGTAAATATAAGAAAAGTAATTTCTTGGTCCAAATCAGCGAAACTTTAAAAAAACATTGTCTCTAGAGAACATTTTTTTGAGAACAGTGCTTTTTCAGACATTCTGATACTCAAATTCACTTTATAACACAATTATAGATTAACCTTTTAATTACATTTTTCTTTTTTTAAGATTTTATTTATTTGTCAGAAAGAGAGAAAACAAGTAGGGGGATCAGCAGGCAGAGAGAGAAGCTGGCTCCCTGCTAGGCAAGGAGCCTGACTCAGGACTCCATCCCAGGACCCTGGGATCATGACCTGAACCAAAGGCGGATGCTTAACTGAGCCACCCAGGAGTCCCTAATTACATTTTTCTTTAAAAGCTGTGAGATTTCTATTTCCTCAGGAGATATTTTCACCACTGTATTGTTAAGTTCCACAGGTTAGGCTTTCTTCATTATTATTAAGAACATCATACATTTTAGAGAGATTTGCTTTCATTGCTTTCTCGTCTTTTTGAAAAGACACAGGGAGACTTGCTAGACTAAAACTGACGTCTTGAAAGGATTGCAACAAGAATATTCCCACGATGATTGTAAAGAAACTACTGAAAGTAACAACAACATCATAAACAGGCTTGTCTTGCCACTCCATAAAATGAATAGCTGAACAAGTTAAAACTGATGTTATAAAGAATAGGTAATATATTGGAGTCACAATGTTAGTGTTGAATATATCCAGGGCCCTGCTCAGGCAGTTAATCTGTGTGCTCACACGGACTATAAGGCTCAGTGGTAGAATTCAGGCCAGGGGATGTCACAGCACAGACTTTCTAGCATATAGCTCTTTGATAGCAATGCCCAGGCCCTTAACTAAAAATGCTCCAGTTACAGAGCAGATTGTTATGTACACGAGAATGTTTGTCCATGGCGGGGTCCCGCCACGAAGATTAATATCAATGACACAATGACCACAAGTGTTGCAAACACCATAAAACCTGGATCTCCCAGCTTGTGAGACATTTTGTTTAAAGTCTCAATCTCCCCTTCTTTTGGAGCATGAATGACCATAACTGTAGATCCTAGAATACTTAGCAAACATTCAATTTTCCCATGAGATTAAGTCTTTCATTTACAAAGTATGAAGAAGGAATAGTATGCACTAAGATGCTGAGAGCCCCCGAGTCCCTAAGGTGGCTGGTGCGAGGGCTTATGCAGCAAGGTTGGCCACCTCACCTGCTCCCATTGATAACAATCCAGCCCACCACAACCATTCTTTAAGATATGCATGGCCACCTTGACCTGCTCTCATGGAGCCCTTCCAGGCAAGTGGCAGAAGACTTTGTTTTTCCCCCGAAGTGAAGCTCCTGCCAGTGAAAATGCTGGAACTCATAGCCAATCCCAAACCAATGTAAAAGTCATATTTTCCATGCCCCTGGATCATTTCGTTTGTTACTAAAGAAGTTCTTGTGAGTCACATTGATCACAAAACAGAGAAACCACTGGTGCTGGAGGCAGGATTATGCAATCTTTAAATACATAAATTTAATATGGTCTCTCTTATGAAAAAAAGCCTGGAAGCCCTTAGAGATGACTTATTCATTCTCAGTTCCTTGTAAATAATACTTTTTATTCTCATTTAAAGTTTTTAAACCCTGGCAGAGTAGCTCCAGTTCCAACTGGAGGCCGGCCGTGCGGCTTCGCCATGAGGCTTTCCCTCCACTATCTGGCCCTAGTCCTGACTGCCTCTGCTTACTCGCCCACACAGGCCTCAGGGGCCATGCCTCTTGAGGAGCTGGAAGTGGGGAGAAGGACAGTGCCTTCCTCTCAGTACAGGAGGAGATGAGAGCATCCGGGCCTGCTGAGGGTGCCTCTTCCTCTGTAGGGGAGCAGCAAGGGGAAACTGCCCCTCCCCATCACCTGCCACCCCCACCACACCTACCTTGAAATTAACTCTTTTCATCAAAAGACACCATGAAAAGAATAAAAAGCAATACACACATAGGTGAATATATTTGCAATAATATAATCAACAAAGTATTAGTATCCAATATATAAAAAGAAGTCCTTCAACTAAAGAAAAAAATCAGGGGCGCCTGGATGGCTCAGTGGTTAACCTGGTAAGGAGTTAAGTGTCTGCCTGAGCCTAGGGTTGGAGTCCAGTGGCTATCTCCCTGCTCAGCAGGGAGTCTGGTTTTCCCCCTGCCCCTCCTCCTGTTTATGTTCTCCCTCTCTCAAATAAATAAATACAATCTTTTTAAAAATTAAATTAAAAAAATTCAATAGAAAAGTGGGCAAAAGACACAGGAGGTATTTCACAAAAGTGGGTGCATGAAGGACTTGTAGGTGGTGCAGTTGGTTAAGTGTCCAGCTCTTGATTTTGGCTCAGGTCCTGATCTCAGGGTCATGAGATCAAGTCCTGCTTCCAGCTCCATGCTCAGTGCAGAGTAAACTTACTCTCTCTCCTTCTCTCTTCACCCCCTTCCCCACTGTCTGTCTGTCTGTCTCTCTCTCTCAAATAAATAAAAATAAATCTTTAAAAATAAAAAAAAATTAAAGAGGATGCATGGATGAATCATAAATAGACGAAATGTCATTCAACATAATTAGTGATAAAGGAAGTGCAAATGAAGACCACAACAAACTGTCATTTTGTGTCACTAAATTGACAAAAAATAAATTTGATAGTAGCAAAATTTGGAGAAGATGCTGATCAATGGGAATTCCTACACATTGCTGGTAAAACTCTAAGTAGGTTAATTACTTGAAAATAGTTTGGAATTAGCCTGTAGAGTGGAACTTTTGCACATGGTACAATCCAGGGTTTCCCTCCTGGGTATAATACCCTAGAAAAGTTTTGCCTGGGTACACAGGGAGACATGTACTAAAAATTGATAGTGACCCTGTTTGTAATAGCAAAAGCAGGAAATAATCCAGATGTCCATCAACACAATAATGGGTAAAAAAAAATTGTAAAAAATCAACACCCTGGAAAATTATTCAGCAGTGGGAGTAAGAAAAAAAAAAAAACACTACATGCGGCTACATGGGTGAATTTTAAGACTGTAATGTTGAGTGAAAAGGGTAGCCCTAGAACACTGAATATGCTGTGAGTTCATTCATATAAAATTTAAAAACTAAACCAAACAGTATTTTGTTTGGACAAAAAATATAAATGATTTTTAAAACCTTTTTGTAGTTAAGAAAAATGATAAAACACAAAATCTAAGAAATCGCTAACCTTTGGTTGAGAGATAAGTAGATATGATAATATAGGAACAAGTAGAAGGAAACTATTGATAATGGTCTAGTTCTTAAAGTTAGTGGTGAGCCCAAAAGAGTTCAGGCTAATATTTTGCTGTGTAATTTATACACATGTATATTCTTTTATATATATTAAATGTCATATTAAAGTAACATATTTGTTTTTCAGAAATCTGCCTGAACCTTCGAGATCCTCCAACTAACATAATTATCATTCCTGAAAAGCAGGTGAAACCTGAATGGAGACTGCCAAAATTAAATCACCGGTTTATCACAAGGTAGAATATTCATGTAAAATACCTTAAATATTAATTTTTAACATTAGCCACTGAAGCAGTATATTATTACTGCTCAAAAATCTACCCCAAATTATACTGTAGCAATTATATAGATCTATATTTTCACAATCATAACTTCAGAATGCTTTTTCACTGTTTAAAGATACAGTATTTAACCATTTTGCTTTTTTTAGGTCAGAACTGGATGATATGCCAAAAAATCATATCTGTGATGTTATTGGCATTTTAGTTTTTGTAGGAAGGGTCCAGCGGTCAAAAAAGAAAGGTAAGCTTTTAAAATTGAAAGTCGTAAAAAGTATTTCAGTGAATAGTTCTGTGCTTATACATGAATAATTGTTTACCTCTATTTATTCTAATATCCTATCCATATAGAAAACCGTGAAGATTTTTGGTCATATCGCTGGATTCACATCGCTGATGGGACTTCAGAACAGCCGTTTATAGTGGAGCTGTTTTCTACATCTCAGCCAGAAATCTTTGAAAATATTTACCCAAGTAGTCAATCCAGTATTTGCATCTTTTTTTTATTTTTGGAAGTGGGGGCATGAACTTAAAGTGTTAGAGTGTATATTGACTTATGGAGTGGCATGATAATGAGTTAGCAAATTCAAGCAATGTGATAGCATGTTTAAATTTTTTTTGTATTGATATTATATTTGGTATTACTGATATTAACCACCTTCTGGTTTTCTATTCAGAATTAATTTGGTATTGAAAGCAATTTTTCAGAAAATAGATGCTCTTATCAATTCTTGTCATTAGCATTTCAGGTGTAAAAGCTTAACATTCTGTGAAGCTAAAACATAGGCATTCATTTCCCTTTGTATCCATTTCGAAATTGACTAAGTAGACCACAAAAAAGACGATGAAGACTACACTAATATAGAATTAATTGGTAGGGGATTGACAGACTATGTAATTAAATGATGACAGTGGTAAGTATGATTTCATTTGAGTATTAAACTAATAGTACATTGGCAATGTTATACCAGCTGGTCAATATTTTAGTTACTTTGGTGTTGACCTTTCTCCCTTGCATTTATTTAGATACAGAGGTATTTTTCCCACTAATTTTATTCATTTGAAAACATTTTAGGTAAGCTTCAGATCCCTTATAAGAAAAAAAGTATATTTAATACTTTTTAACAACTTCAGTGGGTTTTTTTTAAAGATTTTATTTATTTATTTGACAGAGAGAGAGATCACAAGCAGGCAGAGAGCCAGGGGGGCGGGGGGAGCAGGCTTCCCGCTGAGCAGAGAGCCTGATGTGGTGCTCAATCCCAGGACCCTGAGACCATGACCTGAGCCAAAGGCAGAGGCTTAACCCACTGAGCCACCCAGGCACCCCTCAGTGGGTTTTTTTTCTTGTATCAACTTGTAGCATAAAGCTATTATATCTACAGTGTGTTATTTTACTATTTTTCAAATGATTACCTTAATAAAATACTGATTGTTTAATTTTTGCCAACATTAGGAAAACTCCCAATCTTGACCGTATGTAATTTTTAAAATCAACAACAAGGTAAAAATTGTAGAGCATCAGGATACCTAGAGACCATATAGAGAGCTGTTCTGCTACCCCTTTATTGGTTATTGCAAAACAGCATTCCACACCATTCATCTATTACCTTCTTAGATTCTACCATCTGCTTGTGAGATTAAAATTTTAAAATATATCTGGATGGAACTAAACCTCACCTCAACTATTGAAGGAGAGAGCAGAAAGAGTTTTAGCCAAAACCGAGGCATGGGATTCCAAGCTGAGGGGGCTATGATTTCTCATGTAACTTCTCTCAGGGCATAAATGATTGATAGTAATGACTTCTGGTGACAATTCCATTAGCTCATTTTAGGTGGGTTTTATGGCCAGGACCCTCTCTCTTTGTAACCACTTGAAACAACAGGCTGACACAAGTTTTAGATAATGATTTCTTCACAGTAATGTTACCAAGTATACAAGTTCTATTTTTTCGGATAACGTGAAATACATCTTACTAAGAAAGCCTTATACGGACCTTGGTGAGATATACTCTAGTACAGTAGTTGACAACAGTCACGAGTTATGTTCGTTATTTTGATCAAGGTGAAAAAAAATTATCAAATGAATGGTGAGTATTAAGGGGGCTTCAGGCCCATGAAGGGGAACATGACCAAGTGTCTTCTAGAATAATACCAGAATCCCTTGGTAGTAGAGAATCTTTTTTACTTTTGATTAAGGAGAGTGAAAAACTAAGGAGAATGAACATTGAGTGTTTGCTATGTACCAGATGCTCATACATGTTATCTCATTTTGTCCTCCCAGTTAATCTTCTTAAAAGTTGATGTTTTTATAGATTTACAGGTGAGGAAACTAAAATCCGGAGGAGTTAAGTAATTTCTTGGATGTCAAACAGCTAGAAGGTGTCAGGTCGGAATGTCTGATTTTTAACAGTCATGAAATGAGAGTTATAAGTTTCTTTAATATTCCTATATCAACATCTTTAACCATGAACAGTGACATACTTGTACCATTTTTACATAAAGGAAGAGTGTTGTAAATTGAGAATTATTCTTAGTCATTTCAACAGATTTCCTTTATTTTTGTTGCTATAAGATAAAGAATTAGGAAAATTTAGATATAGTAAATGAAGTTATCATTATTGTCATACTCTCAGGAAGAATTTATCTCAAATGAGAACTTACCATTATTGTGAGATTACAAGAATTTACATTTCTTCATTTCCTTGTTCATAAGACCATAACCATTTTGGCATGTGATGAATTAAAATCTAAAAAAAATGTTGGCTTAATGAAACTTTACCTAACTAATTAATTGATAGACAGTTGAAAACAATTCAGCAAGGTGACTAGAAAAGAATGGGTTGTATAAGCCCTGTCATGGAGACTTAAAGTCTAATTAAGATAAACACCTGTAAAACAGTGGCATAAGCAAATTCAGGTTAATAGTGTATACCCCTATCTGGTGGAAGGAGTCAGAGTAATTCAGGGATCAGTTTTAGATCAGGTTAATCCGCAAAAGCATCCTGGAGAAACTAAGAGTTTTTTTCTCTGTAGGAAATAACTGTTCACACTCAGTTGTATGCCTGATTAGAGAGACTTGCAGTCTTCAACTGTGCAGCAAGGAATAACTTCATTTAGGTGCAGCCATTGTACTTTCTAAAGGAAAAGTAAGTGTTAGATCCTTTATCTGAAGAAAAAGTAAGTGTTAGATCCTTGTTGCTCTGAGTGTTGTCAAAGGACTGGCTACACTAGTATCACATAGAGCTTACAAGAAGTGGAGAATCTCAGGTTACTGCCTTTGAATTTGAATTTTAACAATTGTCCCAGGTGATTCCTATGTTCATTAAAGTTCAAGAAGCACTGTGTTAGATACTGATCTTGGTAAGTCCTCTTTGAAAGGCAGAAATTTCTTCATAACTGTTTTCATTTTCTACAGTGACCTATTTCGTGTGTACGCAGTTGAAAGTTGTCAGGAATGACGCTCAGGTACCTAAACTGCTTTACCTAACCACTACAAATGAGAGTCGAGTGTTTATTACTGGTGAGCAATTTCTTGGTTTATACTTTATTGGAGATGTAATATATTCATTAAATTAACTTTTCCATTGCAACATTCAACCACAAGATAGCTTTGTTTTAACCTCCTTTATTGCTGAAAGAATATTTAGCAAAGAATATTTAGCCTATGAAATGTATTGCTTCTAGATTATTTATGACTGAAGCAATGATTTTGTGAGTCATTGGAGAATTGCATTTATGTCCTTTGGTTAACTTTAATTCCTGCTTGATATAAAGTAGAAAATCATAAATTGCTTTGATAGATTGAAGACTTAGGCCCTATATCACAATATGGATACCATAAAAAATATTTTTAAATACTAACTAAAAATGTTCATCATATTTTGGTCCCTGATCTCAGATTTTACTTATATAGCAAGAAGAGTCTTATTAGTTGTCTACAAGCGCATTATTTTTCTATATTCTTTCTGATAACGGGATCAAAGCAATAAAGAGGAAAGTTTCCAGATGAATATATAGTGTGGAGTGATGTGTTTACTAAATTATTACCATGTTGATAATTAAGAAATTTGTCAATAGAAGAGTCCTAAGAAGGATCTAATACACATCTTTGTCAATACCTCATTTTATAAGCACTAACAATATCAGATATAAATGGCACTGTTAATTATGTTTTAAGAATGTGAATTTAAATGCTGAGCTGTATTATAGGCAATTCAGTTCAAACATGATGCCATACCTTTAGATTAATACATGATTTAAAAATCCATTTTTAAGAAGATGCCAGGCATTTTGATAGTTAGAAAAATCCAGATTATTAGTTTTTTTTTTCATTATAACTTTACAGTATCCTGTAGGCAGCTACGGTTTTGTCCTCTTAAATTGTAATATGTCTGATTTCCTTCTCAACATAGGATTGCTTTACTGACTTTGATCATTTTTGTATGCATATTGTGATCTGCTACACATTGCATAAATGAACTTCTTGGTGACATAGAGAATATTTTGATATTAAACTGTTTTTATTAAAAAAAAGTACATACAGTTTATTATGGTGAGGTTTTTTTCCTCTCTCTCTCTTTTTTTTTTTTTTGGTTTTACCCCTCTTGCAAAAAGGTCATAGAAGCCAGCCATATATCAACGACACCAAGGTAAAAAACTTTATTCATTGGATTAAAACAAGGACCGATACTGAGGAAGTGAAGAATACTGTTATTGGTGGCTATTATCCCTATCCACCAGTGCCAGAGACCTTTTCGAAGTACAGTAGTTCTGTCAAAGGTACTAATGTAATTACTAGTCATATAGGATATGTTTATGTGCCATATGTGTGATATATATCATGAGCTAATATAGATAACAACACTCATAAAAATTTTATCTTTTTCATGATCTAAAAATGTATGTCGTAACCTCCTAAAGGTTAATATTTGGATTTTATTAGACTAGAAAAAGGGAGAACATAGATGATGACTAACTGGACATCATATCTTGATTTAATGTTATTGAGATAAAATCTGCATTTAATAGTCCCAAACTCCTATGACATTACATACAGAGACTAAAGCTATCAAAGAGACACTAGATAATTTGATATCAAGATACTGACACTATATTATGCTACTCTTGTGAAATCACATATATTGGATATTACACAATTGAGCACTACCTTTAAATAAAAATGACACCAAAGTAAATAAAATGCAGAATAAGTACTGATGAGAGGCCTAACATTTATTTAAGTAGAATTAAGATATGATGGTTGAAAAGTTTAATGTGAGTATATTATTTTTTAAAAACAATGGGATAATTGCGTGGTTTGGGGAAAAAAAGAGAAACTTTTGAAAACTGACCTACTGTCATCTAAATAATGGCAGCAATATGCAGTATATGGTCATATATATTAAAATGTATGTTTCTGTTCAGTGGCTAGGCAACACTTTATACTTTGAAATATGTGTCAATTACAGTTGACCCTTGAACAACACAGGTTTGAACTGCACAGATCCACTTATATGTGAGTTGTTTCAACAAATATACATACAGTACTATAAATGTTTTTTTCCCCTTAGGATTTTCTTAATGTTTTCTTTTCTCTAGATTACTTTATTGTAAGAATACAGTATATAATATATATACAAAATATGTGTTCACCAACTGTTTATGTCATCGATAAGGTTTCTGGTCAACAGTAGGCTATTAGTAAAGTTTTTGGGGAGTCAAAAGTTATACATGGATTTTTGACTGCAAGGGGCTTGGCGCTCCTAACCCCCCTGTTGTTCAATGGTCAACTACACATTGAATATGCCAAATTTTAGTTTCAAATTAAGATTCCAGACTAGAGGACTGTATCAGAATTTAACTGATAACTATATTTTGCCTATTTTACAAAAATGGCATAAGAAGATGATGCCAAGCATCAACTTAAGTTTCACAAATTTAAGTTATATAGCAAGTTTATGATTTCATGTTGTGAAATGACATTGCAAATCTAATTCTTATTTTTATCATTTCAGTTCTTTAAAACTTACAATTTCCTTGGAATTATTCTTTTGCAGTTGAGTCGCTCTTGACAGCTATAAGTGAAGTGAGGAAGGAGATTGAAGACTTGCAGTATAGGGAACAAAAGCGCATTGCAATTCAGGGGATAATTACTGTTATAAAGTATATCCCCCATACCAGTGCAACTGAAAGTGCCTCAGCATCAGAAACACTTCGGGTATGGTGCCAGAGAATTAATAGTATATCTCTGAATGCACTGTGATCATAATTACAATTGGTACCTTGTACATTTTATTCAGAACTTGCTTGTATTGATGCTTAATGATGTAAACCTCAGAGGAAAAAAATCTTTTATGTTTTTCATTTGTTTCCTTTTCCTGTTATTTATTTTGGAGCAGGCTGGGCTGAAGGTCACAGCCTCTGATATTTCCCAAGGCCTTCAACACTTGGTATCTTATTTTTGCTTTCTGCATAATTTGAGCTTATTATGAGTCTCTTTACTTAAATTCCCAGGTGGTATATATGATTATATTCATTCCATTCCTTTTTGTCCAGGCCAGAACTATAGGAACACTTTCATAGGAAATTTTTAATCTTTGTATCTGGCATGGCAGTCTCACCCAGATTTTTTAAGATATAGCAATGACACTTGTAGGATAAAGGCTCTAGCAGAAAAGACCACTACTGAAACCTAGGCACAATTAAGACAAATGAGTTAATTTTTTCTATGGATTTATCTTTTTAAAAATTATTTCTAGGATTTCTGTTCACATAGAAATGAGCATCTAGTCCAACTTTTCGGTTATACTAGTATAAGGGCTTTTGTTTACCTTCCTTTAAAAAATTTTAATACCAGATGCATTAGGATAAATATAATCCTATCTATCAATCAGCTTTATAAAAGTACTTTTATGATTGCAAAAATATTGTGATAACTCTTAAGATTATGAAAAATGAATAAACTAAAATTATAGTCTTTTAAGAAAATTAATTTTTGTGAATTAGTTTAAAATGTTTTCTCTAAATTTTTGGTTTTAGAATGCCAACCAACCCTCAACATCCCAAGCAGCTAGAAGAGAAAATCAAAGTCAGGAAAGAGAGAATAACAAACGGCATCAAGATGATGATCCTTTGAGCTCTCAGGGTTTTCAAACTGGATATACAAGTTTGAGCCCTACCAAGAAGAAAAGAATTCTGCAAGGGCCGTATGCCAAACTGTAAGTCACTTGTGTTAATATACACATAGCATATTAAATTGTTTTGTTTCTACCACGTAAAATGACCAATTCCACTAGAAGTGGTACTAGTTTTGTAGGGCTGCTAAAGTCCCAAGATCAAAGCATTGGCAGAGTGAGTTCCTTCTGAGGACTGCGAGGAAGAATCTCTTCCTTGCCTCTCCCCTAGCTTCTGGTGGTTTATGGCAATCTTTGGCATTTCTTGTCTTCTAGAAGCATCACTTCAATCTCTGCCTTCATCTTCACATGGCATTTTCCCTGTATACATACCTGTGTTCAAATTTTCCTTTCTTATAAGGACACAAGACATATTAGTTTAAGGACCTATTCTGGAGTACTGTTCTACTCCAGTAAGACCTCATCTTAATCAATTATAACTTCAGTGACCCTATTTCCAAATAAGGTCTCATTCTTTTTTTTTCCAATTTTTTATTAACATATAATGCAAATAAGGTTTCATTCTGAGGGTTATTGAAGATGTAATTGGTAATATATTGGTAGTCCTATTGATATTTAATAGGGACATGGTTTAGCCCATAACAGTCCTCCATCTGGCCCCTAAAATTTCATGTCCTTCTCACATGCAAAATATATTCAACCCATCCAAACATCCCAGAAATCTTAACCCATACTAACATCAACTCTCTCTTTTTTAAAAAGATTTTTATTTATTTGACAGAGACAAGTGAGAGAGGGAACACAAGCAGGGGGAGTAGGAGAGGGAGAAGCAGGCTCCCCATTGAGCAGGGAGCAGGACCCTGGGATCATGACCTGAGCCGAAGGCAGATGCTTAACAACTAAGCCACCCAGGCACCCCTAACATCAACTCTTAAGTCCAAAGTTTCAACTGAACATCATCTAAATCAATATATGGTTGAAATGCAGGGTGATTCATCCTGGGACAAAATTCTTTACATCCATGAACCTGTGAAACTAGACATGTTATCTGTCCAAAACACAATGATAAGACAGGCAGAGGATAAGCCTTCCTATTTCAAAAGGGAGAAATCAGTGAGAAAGTGGGTCATGGGTCACAAGAAAGTTCAAAACCTAGCAGAACAAATTCCATTTGATTTCAGGCCTCCAGAATTACCCTCTCTGGCAGGATACTGTATCTCCTGGGCCCACCAGGATGGCAGCTCCACTTCCTTGGCCCTGAGTGCTACCCGTGCCCTCTGGAACTGAGGAATCATTGTCCCTTTTCTTGAAAGAGAACATATGATCACAGCTGGTTATCTCTTACCAACTCGTTTCCTGACTGTAGAATCCCAGAAATCCAACAGCCTTTCTTCATTTCATCCCACCTATATCCCTTTCAGTCCAAGCTAACAGCATGCCTACTGAGATGGTTGATGGGATCCACAAATCACAAGCCTAATCTCTTGGGCAAATAGTTGTCCAACAACACCATTAGTGTTCCCTCCAGAGCAAGGTTTCTCATTATCTGCAGTATAGATTGGCTGAGAATTTTCCAAGTGTCGAAGCTTTGGTTCCTTTTTTCTTAATTTTTCAACTTCTCTCTCCCCTCTTGTATTTTACTATAAGCAACAAGGAGAAACCAGGCTGCACCTTCAACACTTTGCTTAAAAATCTCTTTAACTAAATATGCAAGTTCACTGCATACAAGTTTCACCTGCCATCCAACAGAACACAGTTCAGCCAAGACCTCTTACACTTTATAACAAGGATCACCTTTCATCGAAATTCCAATAACCCATTCCTCATTTTTGTCTGAGACTTAACCAGAAGCACCTCTTAATTTCATTAATTCTAGCAACATTCTGTTCATAACAACATATATATTCTCTAAGAGAACAAGCTTTCTCTCAGAACTCTTTCAGCTTCCATGTTATACTCAATTCCAAAGCCATTTCCACATTTTATTTTATTTTTTTAAGATTTTATTTATTTATTTGACAGAGAGAGACACAACGAGAGAGGGAACAGAAGCAGAGGGAGTGGAAGAGGGAGAAGCAGGCTTCCCACTGAGCAGGGAGCCTGATGTGGGGCTCAATTCCAGAACCCTGGGATCATAGCCTGAGCTGAAGGCAGACGCTTAACAACTGAGCCACCCAGGCACCCCTATTTCCACATTTTAAATTACTTGTTACAGTAACACTCCACTTCCTGGTACCAAAATCTGTGTTCGTTTTCTAGGCTGCTGTGATGAAGTACTACAAACTATATGGCTTAAACAATGGAAACTTAGGGTCTCACAGTTCTGTAAGCTTGAAGTCCAAAGTCATCAAAGTGTCAGAAGTGTTAGTTTATTTTGAGCACTGTGTGAAAGAATCTGCTCCTTGTCTCTACCCTAATATCTAGTGATTTTCTAGCAACCTTTGACATTCTGTGGCTTGTAGAAACCTTACCCCCAATCTGTGTCTATGTCCAAACTCCCCCTTTTTATAAGGACATCAGATACCTTAGACTAGGGGCCCACCCTACTCCAGTATAACATTATTTTAACTAATTTATCTCTTCAGTGAAACTATATCCAAATAAGATTACATTCTGAGGTACTGGGGGGTTGTGACTTCAACATGAATTTTGGGGGAGATAAGATAACCCGTAACAGAAGCCCTCTTACCACCATGCTTGGCATGGACTACTTGACAATAGGTTTAAAATGAGGAACTACAAAAAATACATTTTATTTTAATTTAAAATACTATAGCTTATATTTGTTGGCCAGTTATTTAAACATGAATCTTTCCTCTATAAACTTTATCCATTATGAATTATATATGATTAACAGTTTTGGTTTTCTGAAGCAGAAAGGTAACCAAGACACTAATAAAGCAGTTAGCATATAGAATCATTTTAGATTTCAAGATTTTGTAAAAACTCTAGTCTTCAATGGTAGTTGTGCCCAGTCAGGGAAATGATTTTTGGTTGTTTCCTGAGCTTATATTCAGCAACCTTGATAAATTCACTTATTCTGAGTTTGTAGGTTTTTTTTTTTAATTTTCTCTGTATAAGTCATGTAATCTGCAAATACTTGTGGCTTATTTCTTCCTTTCCAGTCATTTTGCCTTTTATTTGTTTTTCTTGCTTTATTGTACTGGTTAGGACCTCTACTACACTGTTGAATATAATTAGCAGTAGAAACCACCTAGGTCTCATTTCTTTCTTCCTTTTTTAGTGGTCTAAGGACAATTTATTTTATTTTTTCAAAGCTTTATTGAGATATAATTGACATATATTACTGTGTAAATTTAAGGTGTATATTGTGATGATTTGACACATGTATGTATTACAAAATAATTACCACAATAAGATTAGTCAATACATCCATGACCTCACATAACTATTATTTTTTATAGTAAAAACATGTAACAATTACTCTCAGCAAATTTCAAGTATATATTATAGTATTGTTAACTGTAGTCACCATAATGTATGTTAGATCCCTAGAACTTATTGTGCCTCTACTGGTACATTAATGTGTTCACCAACCCCGAAGCTCCACCAAGTCTTGATATCTAGATTTTTGGAGGGTAGTTCATTACTTATGCATGATAGATTAAACCATTGGCCATGAGATTGAATTTTATCTGCAGCCCTCTCCTCCCACCAACATAATAGAGGTTAGGCTAGTTCAGTGTTTCAACCTTGAATCATATGCTTGATATATCAGATAACAGTTCTCATCTTCAGCTGTCTCGTGGCTCTCCATGAGTTACCTCATTAACATAACGGAGGCACTTTTGTCACTATGGAAATTCTAAGGGTTTTTGAACCAGGAGCCAGAGACAAAGACCAGATATGTTCTTTATTGTGCCGTAGTTCTTAAGGTCAGCTGTTTTCTTTTTCAGCTCTAGAAAGTCCATTTGATTCTTTTTTTGATATTTACTTTTGAAATTATATATCTCTTTTGTCCACCTAGATCACCTGTTGATCTGCTTCTGTTGCTATAATAATAAGAAATATAACCATTTAAGAGCTTGTATTAACCTTATAATACAAATGATAGCTAGTGAACCATGGTGCTCTTTGTTAGATAGTAAAATGTAGTGAAAGTCCATCTATTCATTCAAAAGTTAGCACTGAGAAATAAAATATAATCAACAGACATTAAAACTTCTTCAGTTCATTCTCCTGATAATATTTACTCTATAAAGAGAGAAAATTAATCATACCATAGTTAGATGAATTCTTAAAAATAATTTTCAAAAAAATCATTTTCAGGTCTCCTCCTAAGAAAAGCAGAAGGAACTATAGGAAAAGTTTTTAAATAATGGTTTTGTCTGAAAAACATTTGCTAATTTGGATTAATGATCACAGAGACTTAAGCATTTTTGATCATTGTAAATTACTGCTAATTGCTTATATTAACAATTTCTCAAAAGAACTCTATATTCTGGTCCTTTTATATACTATCTTCTGTTTTTCTTAGGTAGAAGGCACTGAAAATATTCCTTCATTTAATTATAGAGAGAATTTCAATATACGATGTAAAATTATTTATATTACATCATTTGATCCTCGAAATCCCTGTGAGGAAGGAGCAGGATAATTATTTCAATTTTATAAAAGAGAAATACGAGATTCAGGAAAGATAAACTATAGGATTTGTACATGTGTGTATATATATTAAGTACTTTCAGTTTCTCTGCATGAAATATACTTTCTAAGACCTCAATAATGTTAATTATAATCCTGATATAAAGATGAGGGAATAACATTCTATAGAATGTTTATGATATTTACCTACGGTCAATAAGTTGATGAAAAGGGCAAGATTAGAATATAACTTAGAGTCATAATTTTTATAATTTTTACCATATTCTGTCACTGCCCAGCATATGCAGTGTTCTCTTCTTTTAGCTCTCTTTTCCCTTTCTTCTTCAGTTATTTTTCTATACTTACCTGTTCACTTTTCATCTCTTTTTTCATTTTCTTCAGTTGATACCTGTAGGTGTTATATACCTCCACTTCTGTCAGTTAGCCCCTCACCTTTAAGACATTTAAGTTGTACAAATGGATGATTACATAGTCCAGTAAAAATCTCCTAAGTCATTTTTTTAGAAGTTCTGTACAATGTAATGGTGCTGTTGGGGTTTTGAAAACTATTTCTTCTAATTTGTTTCAAATGGAAAAAGTCACTTTCTAATCACATGTACTAAAAAGTAGATACATGCTGTTTAAGGTTCTTAAAATAAATGTAATTTAACTATTTTTTAAGTTAGATTTATTTCACAGTTGATGTTTCAGCTCTCTAATTTCTAGAAATACCATGTTTTCAGCAATTGAAAAGTTCAAATTACAACTATAAAATATGTTTTTTTTCCCTAGGGTTTAAAGATAAATAAATGGATGAATTCTTCCTTCATGAAAGCTACTTCTTTTTGGTTCATTAATAACTCTTTAGCAAAATAATGAATACTACTATTATAAGAAAAAAATCCATTGATAAGATGAGCAATATTATGTGGCATTCAATAATATGTCATTCTGTTTTACTTTATGCTTTTAGCTTTGGAAATACAATAGAAAAAAACTCATCACAGAAATATGCTAATAGCCTACAAGATGGAAATCTTTCCTTATAAAAGTAGGCTTCTCCTCAGTTTCAAAACAAAATATTTCCTTTTCCTCCATTTATTTCAGTTCAATAAACAGTTATTAAGTAAATATTATATAGATACAAAAATAAATAAAATAAAGTCTACACTTTTATAGACCTGATAGCAGAGCTTATAACAATCTGTTGGAAGAGACAGACTCATGAACCTGTAATTTCAACATGGAGTGATGAATGCTATGATAGAGGCTTATTCATGGTGCTGTGACAGTGACAGCATATAGAAGGAGCAGTGAGCTTTGACTAGAGATCAAGGATGTCTTCTTTTAAGAAATAATACTTGAGTTAAATTTCAAAGAAGAAATATGAGTTTAAAGCAGCATGAGACTTATAGGGGTATCTGGGTGGCTTAGTGGGTTAAGCCTCTGCCTTTGGCTCTGGTTGTGATCTCAGGATCCTGGGATTTAGCCCCGCATCAGGCTCTCTGCTCAGCAGGGAGCCTGCTTCCCCCGCCTCTCTCTGGCTGCCTCTGCCTGCTTGTTGTTTCTCTCTCTGTCAAATGAATAAAATCTTTAAAAAAAAAAAAAGCACCATGAGACTTATAGAAAACTTTGAAAAGAGGCTAGACAGGCCAAATAGTTTCCCAGAATGATATATGTTCTGGAAATATATATATTCTGGGAATATATATATTCTAGAATATTTATATATATTTGCATGTATGTGCAATACATATGTATATATTTATAAGTGTATAAATGTATAAATAAGTTAAAATATATATAAATAAGTTATAAATTGTGTATATTTATATATACACAAATAGATATTTATATATATAAATATCTCTATCCATCTTTAGTTGCTATTTAATAAAGTTAAATACTTCCTTTTGTGGAATATGCCATATGAAAAGAAGACTTATCAGCACCACACTCTAACCAACTGAGCTAACCGGCCACTAAAAGAAGACTTAAATTAGCAGTAGTATTTGGGGTGCCTGGGTAGCTAGTCAGTTAAGTATCCACTCTTGGTTTTGGCTCTGTCATGATCTTGAGCTTGTGAGCTCAAGCTCTGTGTGGGGCTTTGTACTGAGTGGAGAGTCTATTTGGGATTCTTTCCCTCTTTCTCTCCCTCCCCCTCTGCCCCTCTCCCTTCTCTCTCTCTCTCTTTTTCTCTCAAATAAATAAGTAAATAAATAAATAAATAAATAAAATCTTTTAAAAAATCTATTGCAGTATTTGAACTAGGTTATATATGCATATTTGTGTATTCATAACTTGTATATCTTTTCCTTAAGTTTTTAGTGCATTACTTTAAGAAACTAAACCTATCAATTTTGTAAACTTACTGAATTTGAATATATTCTGAATGGAGCCAATTAGTTTTTTTTCATTCAATTGTCTTTTTGTAATTATTGGTTATCTTTTTTCCATCTTTTGTAGAGTTCCTGTGCCTCAGCCAGAAACTTCTGCGCAGACAAAAGGTAATAAACCAGACATGCCAAGCATTTTCCAACGTATGTTGCTTTGATGATTATTATTTATGAAATCTCTATGGAACATTATTATATAGAGATTATTTGATTTTATTCTGCATTTTTGTGTCTTGCCTCTCTCTAGCATAAGTACTTTAAATAGATATATAGTTTTTGTTTTTTATTTATATTAGCTTAGGTCCTTGTCAAAAGTACTGGTCCCAACTTTAAAACAATTTGTTATCATCCCCAAAGTGAAAGTAAATATAAAAAAACCTATACTTACCAATTTGTTTATTTGATAATACATCCCTTCAAATATAGAGATCTTTAATTTTTAATTACCAGAAGAATAAAGTAGGAAGTTTAACTTTTATTTGAAAATAAATATAGGTAAAGCTTAAAAAATAGTTGTAGTTCCTTTTTTTGCTATTAGTTTGACTGGTCTGAATGTTGGGCTCATTTCTGAAGAAATTTCACAGGACAATTTAGTTCCTTAGAGTGATTGGCTTAAATCTGATCTTATAAGGCTCAACTCTTTGGACTAGACTTTTTAACACTTTGTCTTTCTTGCTTTTTGAGTTATTCTTATTTTGAGGTTGACCTCTTGTCAGTCTGGCAGATCAAGAACACACAAAAGGATCTAAAGTCTGCATCCCCCCCCCAAAAAAAATAAAGCGTAGAAAATAAGGGGGAAATCATTATAACACAAATATATGACCAACCTCAGAACAAGAATGAAAAATCCTAAGGTGCCAAAAACAAAAGAATTTAAATTTAGCTGTGAGTAGGACTAAAACTAAAACTGCTCTCAGACATTTCAGAACTAGATAGAGACCTAAATGACTGTGGGCTGAAAGTCCTTTGTGCGAAGTAGGACTGATATAGAATTGGAAGGTTATGAAGGACCAGAGAGAGTAGGCCCATCAGTGTGTGAAAGTGTCAAGGAGCTTCCTGTATCCTCTGGGCAATGGTTGGGAAAAAGCCCCACCTGAGAGAAATTGAAATCCCAGACCTGCGCAACATGGAGGTGTGGTCACAGTCAATTGACTGTAATGGTGACGACACTGAGCTAAGGAGTTAACAGTAACATCTGGTCTGAAATCAATGAAACCCTTAAAGTCTTAACAAAGGTAAGTGTGAAACTGCCTCAAAGGGAGGAATCTTACAACCTAGGGTGCCCCATAGAAAATGGCTACAGAAGATAAATTCATGGTTAAAAAAAATTACAGACTTCACAAGAAAATGAACTTCTTTGAGGCAATGTGATGAGATGTAATATGTGGGAAAATTTATAGCCTAAGAACTAGAAATATTAAGAGGCTTTAAAATAAAGACATGTTTAAAAAGTTAAAGGAATGGATATAAACTGTGAGTTAAATATATAAATATATATTAAATGTACATTAAATTTAAATTTGATTTAATATATATTTATTAAATTAAATATATAAATTTAATTTATATTTAATATAAATTTATTTTAAAATTATATATTTATATAAATTAATTGTGTGTATTTATTAAATTAAATATATTAATTTAATGTGTAATTTATTAAATCAAATTTGTCAATTTAATATATTAAATATATGCTTTGAAGAGGAAGCAAATGCAAATGAAGAGAGAATTAGTACATTTGGAAGATAGAAACAGAAGAAATCACACCAAAGATAGGTAAAGAGTTTGGAAAGGCAAAAAAGAAGTTGGGAGACATGGTGGATAGGTGAGAAGGTTCAATTTATATCTAATGAAAGTTCCAGGAGGACAAACTAGAGATAATGAGGAAGAAGCAATATTTGAAGAGGTATATTTTCAAAATTAAGGGTATATATGCATCATTAGGTTGAAGGATCACAAAGAATCCTAAGCATGAAAATTAAATAAATCTATAAGCAGACCTATCATAGTGAACCTGCACAGCATCACAGATAGTAAATATCTTAAAAACTGCCAGAAAGAAAATGCCTATTTATCTACAAAAGAAATATAATTAGACTGGAAATTTTCTTGTCAGCAACAATAGATGCCTTAAATAATGGAATAATATCTTTGCAAAATGTTGAAAGAAAATATTTTCCAACCTAGAATTCTATGTTTAAATGAATTTTGAGGGTGAAATAAACATATTTTTAGATATTCAGAGACAGTGAAATTTATTATTCATATTGTCTCAATAAGTGAGTTACTAAAGAATTTTGAAAGAAGTAAAATGAAACCAAAAAGATGTATTAAAATGCAGGAAGAAATGGTGAGCAATGAAGTTGGTAAAATATTGGTAAATATAAATAAAAACAGGCAGTAAAAATTAATAACAATGGTAAATAATTTCATGGGATTTGAAATAAAGTAAAAGTAAAATGCTATTTAAAATAAGATGGGTAGGAAGATGAGAATTAAAGCATTCCTAAGTTACTATATCTTTATGGAGAAAAGTAGTGATTGATGAACTCTAGGCTTTGTAAATTCAACATGACATTTAAAATTTTAAGGACATGCTAAAAGAGTAGGTATAGAGGGTATAACTTTCAAAGCAGCAGCACAGAAAAATGGAATTGTGAAAATTTAATCAGGACGATGGAAGGTGGAAAGGAAGGAAAAAGAAAAGAAAAAGCATGATTAAGAAAAAAACACAAAATAGCATAACTGAAATAATTCCAAATATGACAATAATTTCAATAAATGTAAACATGTTAAACTTTCAGGTATCAGTTTTAAAAATTAATCTAGTTATATGCTATGATAAGAGACACTTAAGCAAATTTATATAGAAAAGTTGAAAACAAAGGAATGGCAAAAAATATACCTGACTTCTCCTAAGGAAATGTGGTATAGCAATATTAATATGAGATAAAATATGAAGCAGAAACTATAAGTAAAGATAAAGAAAACAATATAGAATGAAAAAAGTGACATTCTACCCAGAAGATAATAAAAACCAGGAATGTATACATCTAAAAATATAACCTCAAAATGTAAATAGCCCAGTAGATTTATTTTTTTATTTCAAGATTGTATTTACTTGTCAGAGAGAGAGTGTGTGTGTGTGTGTGTGTGTGTGTGTGTGTGTGTGTGTGTTTACACAAGCAGGGGGAGCAGGCAGAGGGAGAGGGAGAAGGCAGACTTCATCCCAGGACCCTGGGATCATGACCCAAACCGAAGGCAGAGGCTTAAGGGACTGAGCCACCCAGGCGTCCCAACCCAGTAGATTTAAAAGGAGCAATCATAGTACACTCCTCTCTTAAAGTAAAAGAACAAGGAGACAAAAAGTTATTCAATAGGCAAGCACAGATATATTGATGAAAACCAGTGATAAAAAAACAATCTTAAAAGAAGCGAAAGGGAAAAGAAAAAAGACACATTATACACAGAGGAACAAAAAGACAAATACAACAATAGATTTCTCTTCAGAAAGTATATTATCCAAAAGACAATAAAAAGAAAATACTTGTAAACCTAGAGTTCTATGCACAGTGAATGTATCTTTTAAAAATAGACAAAATAAAGATCAAAACAGAAGCTGAGAGGATTCACGACCAGACCTGCACAATGAAAAATAATAAAGGAAGTTCTTCAGGCAGAAAAATAATAATACAGGTGGAAATTTAGATCTAAATAAGGTAAAGTACCAGAAATAGTAAAGGTACAAGTACAATAAATAAATTTTCTCAATTTTAATCTCTTTTAGATGAAAAATAATAAAAATATAAACTTTGTAGTTTATATGGAAGTGAAATGTATGACAAGAGCACAAAAGCAAGAGAGGATATGGAGATAAACCATTACGAAGTTCTTACACTATATGCACAAAGTGGCATAACATCACTTGGATGTAATAAATCAAAGTTGTATATTATAAATCTTATAGCAACCCCTAAAAAAAACCATAGTTAGTAAGTCAATGGTAAAGCGAAATGGAATTATTTTTTTAGTCAATCCAAGAGAAGGCAGGACAAGAGAAAAAGGGGCATAAAGAGCAAATGAGTCAAATAGAAAAAAATAGCAAAATGACAAACTGAAGCCCCATCATTTGTTAATTACATTAAAGTAAATAGTATGAACACCCCAATAAAAAAGCAGAGATTATCATATTGGATAAAAACTTAAGACCCAGCTATATACCATCTCAAAAAGACCCACTTTAAGAGCGCCTGGGTGGCTCAGTCAGTTACGCATCTGCCTTTGGCTCAGGTCATTATCCTGGGGTCCTGGGATGGAGCCCCACATTGGGCTCCCTGCTCAGCAGGAGGCTCCCCCCAGGCTTGTGCTCTCTCTCAAATAATAAATAAAAGCTTAAAAATAAAAGAGGGGCGCCTGGGTGGCTCAGTGGGTTAAGCTTCTGCCTTTAGCTCAGGTCATGATCTCAGGGTCCTGGAATCAAGCCCCGCATTGGGCTCTCTACTCAGCAGAGAGCCTGCTTCCCCCTCTCTCTCTGCCTGCCTCTCTGCCTACTTGTGATCTCTCTCTGTCAAATAAATAAATAAAATCTTAAAAAAAAGAGACCCACTTTAAATTTAAAGATACAATATGAAAAGATGGAAAAATATATAACATGTTAAAGAAAGCTTAAATGGCTATATTTATATCATCAAAGTAGATTTCAGAACAGGGAGTAAAGAGGAATATTACATTATTTACAGCTGTCCAAGAAAACATGCCAATCCTATATGTGTAGACACCTCACAATAAAGCTTCAAAGTATGTGAAAACAAATTCAGAAGAGAGACAGATTCACAATTATGTTTGAGGACTTCAGCATCCCTTTCTCAGCAATTGATAGGAAAACTAGGCAGTAAACCAGTAAGAATATAGAATACATTAACACTATCAACCAACTTGAGCTAATTAATAGATACAAAACACTCTACCTAACAATGGCATAATACATATTATTTCCACGTACACATAGAACATTTACCAAGATGAACTATATTGTGGTTGTAAAACAAGTCTCAGTAAGTTTAAAAGAATCTAATGAAGAAAAGCAAACTGAAATAGGTGGTAGGAAATTCTGTATGTCACCAATTCCTAGATATCCATTT